GCCCGCTGGTGTTCAGGTAAAATCTGAAGTCCTTCAGGCCGTCTGCAAGGGCTGGCAGGATGCTGGCCCTGCCTTCTTTTATTGTTGGTGTTAGCTGTCATCGAGTCAGCCCCAACTCATGGTGACCCAGTGAAGAATGGAGCAAAACGCTACCCAGTCCTGCGCCATCCCCATGATCGGCTGCAGACTGGACCACTGTGATCCATAGGGTTTTCAGTGGCTGATTTTTTAGAAGTAGATCACCAGGCCTTTCTTCCTAGTCTGTTTTAGTCTGGAAGCTCCGCTGAAACCTGTTCAGCATCATAGCAACACGCAAGCCTCCACTGACAGACGGGCGATGGCTGCGCATGAGATGCCTCCCTCCAGTCGTTTCCCACCTCTTCCCCCTTGCTCCGGGCTCAAGACACCCCAACCTTTTGTTCCTTCCCCAAAGGCAAAAGATCCCCTTCGCCTGAGGGGACACTTTCCTCTCTGCCTGAAAAGCTACTCACCTCCCCTCTTTTCCTACCCAACTCGGACTCTTCTCAGATCTCAGCTTAAATTCTTCCCTGACCCCCAGGCCCCAATCTGACACTCTAGTCTGATATTCGTTAGCCCTTTGAATATCTCCTTCAAAGCATTCAATCACAATTCTAATTAAACAACTGTACAGTTAGTTGAGGGGCAGTAGCGGTTCAGCTGTAGAATTCTTGTTTTCCATGTAGGAGAGCTGGGTTCGATTCCCAGCCAACGTACCCCATGTGCAGCTACCACCCGTCTGTCAGTGGAGGCTCGTACGTTGCTATGATGCTGAACGGGTTTCAGCGGAGCTTCCAGACTAAGACAGACTATGAAGAAAGGCCTGGTGATCTGCTTCCAAAAAATCAGTCAATGAAAACCCTACAGATTACAATAGTCCGATCCACAGTCGATCATGGGGACGGCGCAGGACCGAGCAGCATTTTGCTCCATTGTGCACGGGGTTGCCATGAGTCGTGGCAACTCAATGGCAGCTAACAACAGTAACAACATAGTTTGTTGTGCCCTGTTTAACCTGCTTGCAACTGTGGGAGCTTCATAAGGGCAGGGCGGTCGCTCCCTAATACTCATTGGGCACTTAGATGTGCCAGGTACTCTTCAAGGTGCTTTACGTGGATCATTTCATTCCCTCTCATAACAACTTTATAGGTTAGGTGCTATTGTTTATCATCCTCCTTTTGCAGAAAAGGTAGTTGAGGCCCAGAAAGGTGAAGCAATTTGCTCATGGTCACACAGCTACCATCAGCTATTGGAATTACTACTGCACTGGACCAGTCTGCCCTCTACGCCCGACTCCAGCGTCCCCAGTGGCCATGCCATGTTGATCTTGCATTCCCCTGACGCTCTGCTAAGTGATTCCTGAAAGTCAACGGCTCACAGAATCGAAAGACATTCATTAGCCTTGCATTCAAAGCCTTCCACTGCATCCTTCAGGAATGTGTTTTCAAAAGTGTCGCTGTAAATATTGAATTGAAAAAGTGCCTTGATGCTTATTAACTTCTTCCTCCCCTTCGTTTGGTCTGGTGTTAATTTCATCAATAGAGCTCCCTAATACAAACCTTGTGAGGCTGGACACGGCCTCCAAAGCAGACTCTTGAGTGAAGGATGGTATTTTGAGATAGTAGCTGATAATGACAATAACAAAAAAAAACCCGTTGCCATCGAATCGGTTTTGACTCACAGCGACCCTATAGGACAAAACAGAACTGCCCCATAGGGTTTCCAAGGAGCGGCTGGTGGATTCGAACTGCCAACCTGTTGGTTAGAAGCCAAGCTCTTAACCACTGCACCACCAGGGCTCCCAGTAGCTGACAAGCCAAGGTAAAACGCAGTATAGGGTGGTGGTAAAGGGCACAGGCTATAGAGTCCACAGACCATGCTTCGTTTCGAATCCCACCTTCAAGACCTACCACAAGTCATTTCACCTTCCTCAGCTTCCGCATCTGTAAAGTGGGTTAACACAGTCATGGAAGAACTATAGCCAGAATGCTCCTTAGAAGCGAAGCTGGTGAGACTTTGTCTTACTTACTCTGGACATGTCATCAGGAAAGACCAATCGCTAGAAAAGGATATCATGCCTGGTAAAGTAGATGGTCAGTGAAAACGAGGGAAACCCTTCACAAAACGGATGGACACAATAGCCACAAGATGGATTCAAACGCACCAACGACGGTGAAAATGGCGCAGGCCCGAGCAGCATTCCATTCTATCATACATAAGGTCACCATGAGTCAGGGCTGACTCGACGGCAGCTAACGACAGCAGCAGAGCTATTATGGGGTTGTTGAGAAGGCTATTTTAAATATAATATATAATATAAATAAATAAACATAATATAAAACAGAATCTGTGAGCAGAGATCCGTGTTCCATGAACCACTTTCAACCCCTGCTCAAGTCTGAAGAGGCAGCCATGTTTGCAGGCCTCTGGTCCCCAGCCCATTTGGCAGCAAACGTGCTGGGAGTCGGGCCAGGGGGTCTGTTGGTGTGATATTGTTCAGGCCCTCAAGGTCCAGGGAGTTTGGATGGGCTTAGGTAAGCCTGGAAACCTCTGCCTCGTCCAGGTCGGTTCCCAGCCCCCTGCTTGGCCAATGACTGCTTCCCGCCTTCAAAACGCAAGATCAGTAAATGTCACATCATCGAACTGTGACTTTTCCCGTGTCGCCCCAGCTGCATCCGGAGAAGGCCACCAAGCATCCATTTCTGTTGGTTCTTGTTAATGATATGTGTGTGTGTGTGTGTGTGTGTGTGTGTGTGTGTGTGTGTAGTTAAAGAAGGTCCAGGTACTGGGCACTGGACTCACCAGTGGGTCACACTGACTACTGAGGTGGTGAGGTACAACACCAAAAACCAAAAACCAAACCTGTTGCCGTCGAGTTGATTCCAACTCATAGCAACCCTATAGGACAGGCTAGAACTGCCCTCATAGGGTTTCCAAAGAGCAGCTGGTGGATTTGAACTGCTGACCTCTTGGTTAGCAGCCAGTACTCTTAACCACTACATCACCAGGGCTCCTGAGGCACAACAGGCCATGCTGAAGATGGAAGTCTAGGCCTTTTAGAACAATAATAGCTACTACTTACTGAGTCGTCCTTGTGCTAAGTACATAAAAACCAGTTGCGGTTGGGTTGACTCTGACTCACGGCGACCCCATGTGTGTCAGAGTAGAACTGTGCTCCATAGGGTTTTCAATGGCTCATTTTTTTTTGGAAGTAGATCGGCAGGACTTCTCTTCTGAAGTGCACCTGGGTGGACTTGAACCTCCAACTTTTCAGTTAGCAGCCGAGCATATTAATCCTTTGCACCACCCAGAGACTCCATACTAGAACACAGCAAGCACAATTTCATGGTGTCCTCACACCAAGACTATGAGATGGGTCCTACCATGGGCCCAAATTTACAGGTTAAAACACGCACACATACACAACTGAGGCTTAGAGACGTTAAGTAAGTTGCCTTGGGTCACAGAAGTTTGCAAATGGGCAAAGGCAGGATTCCACCCATTTGTCTGACTCTGGAGATCATGGGTATAAGCACTAGGCTACACAGTCCCCTCTGTGTCTGTCTTCTCTACTCTCTCATAGCTGAATAGCCTTCTCCTTGTTTCCTCCAGGGACTAGCTTTCTGGAGCTAGATCTGTCACTTATCCAACTATAACCAGTTACCAGTTGCCATCGAGTCAACTGCGACTCATGGTCACCCATGAGTGTCAGGGTAGAACTGTGCTCCATAGGGTTTTCAATGGCTGACCTTTCAGAAGTAGATTGCCAGGCCTTTCTTTGGAGGCACTTCTGGGAGGGCTCCAACCTCCAACTTTCTGGTTAGCAACCGAGCACGTTAACCATTTGCACTACCCAGAGACTGCTATCCAATCACAGCTATTACTTATAGGGTGCTCACCAATAGCAGGTGCTCTAGGAACTCATCACCATTTACAAAGCAGGAAGCCTAGAGAGGCTAGGACACTTTCCTGAGGTCACACAAGAAGCCGGTAACAGAGTCAAGACTTGAACCCAGGTCTGCCTGGCCCCCCTCACTCACATTCTCCCTTCTGTGCCAGTCTACAGCTCACACCAGACAATTGCTGTATGAGCTGAACTCAAGCAAACACCCGTGCCAACCACTTTGATTCCGGCTCACAAAACAGTCCTCCAGAAATTTCCCTTTCTTAATGCAGCCCCTTTGGACTCAGATGACTTAGGAAAAAGTCACCCATTCTTATTTGGCAACAGAAATCATGGAGTGCCCCAGACACCAGCACAGTCTATTTAAAGAGGGGATGAGAGTGGAAAATTTCAGGTGTAATTTTTTTGGGGGGAACGGTTTGATCTGGAAAGGAAAGAAGGGCTCAGAATCCATCAGCGAGAAACACTGGCATATGTGCCAAGAAGGCATGTACAGTTATGAGGAGGTTCCTCGCAGTATGGCTTGTAATACAAGCAGGGAACACTGGAAGCCACCTTCCTGTCCTCTAGCAAGAAGTGACAAAGTAAACTCCACTTCAGCCTTCCGAGGCAATACTCACTCTTCAGCAGTTAAAAAGAATGAGATAAGTCTGGATCCAAGAAAAGATATCTAAAACTTATTCTAAAGTGCAAAAAAAAAAAAAAAAAAAAAAAGGCAAGCTGCAAAACACATACATTATGATGTCATTTACGTTAAAAGGAAGAACAAAACTATTTGTGCCTGTGTGTGCATGCATGCGTGTGTGTGTGCATGGGTGCGTAAATGAATAAAATGGGTCTGGTCTGGACATTTCAAATGTGTTTCCTCTAAGGAAGGGGCTGCGATTGGGGGCAGGTATACCAAGGGAGTTTTCATTTTACCCGCAGAGTTTGCATTTCTTTCAATCTCTATGTATTCTTGGGTTGCTTCCATTTTTGAAATACATTAGTGTAGTCCTACATACTTTTTTTCTTTCTTTAAAGAAAGGAAGGAAGAGAGAGGGGAGGAGGCAAGACAGGTAGGGGCTGTCACACCCACCTTTTCTCTTGGTGCAGTGGTAAATCTGGCTGTGCTCCTGGGACAGAGGGTATGGGGTGGGTGGGTGCAGAAGGTCCTGGGAGGTGCCGGAGACGCCATTCTCGCACTGATACTGGGTCCCCAAGTTGGATGAGGTGGAGAGAGCCCGGGGCTCGCTGCTGAAAGGGCTATGGTTGGAGGCCACTTTTTGCCTCACTGTGCTCCTGGGAACCACAGGGTATTCTTTACTGAAAGAGAGAAGATGCGAAAGAAAGTTTATCAATGCCCTGACACAGATCCACCCACTAGCCAAACCATGGGTCAAAGAATCCACCAGAAAAGTCACAGGATAATAAACAAAAATGTCTTTGAGGAGCAATACAATCCAGTTACATTCATGTGCGCAAAATGCAATGGACATAATATTTGGGCACTAATTTTTCATGTCTTATACAGTAGGCAAGTAGGTTTACGAATAGTTCTATACATATGCAGAAAGGTAAATGAGCACTCCCAGCTAAAAACCCCTCTTAATGTTAAATAGACACAGGTGGCAATTTGAGTTATTTCAACTTATTCTACAGATATTTAGACCCCCTCGTTCCCTTTCTGGAGTAAAAACTGAGGTTGTCAACAATTTCATTCTACTTGGATCCACAATCAATGTCCATGGAAGCAGCAGTCAAGAAATAAAAGGACACATTGCATTGGGAAAATTTGTTGCAAAAAACTTCTTTAAAGTTCTAAAAAGCAAAGATGTCACTTTGAAGACTAAAGCGTGCCTGACCCAAGCCAAAGTCTTTTCAATTGCCTCATATGCATGAGAAAGTTGGACAGAAGAAGAATGCGCACATTCGAAGAATAACAACCGTGTGCAGGGCTGATGGAAGGGTGATTTGGCTCATTCTTTCTGGAAGGCAATTTGATAACATCGATTTTCATAAGATACAACAATCTGGACCTAGCAAGCTGATGACTATGAATTTGCCTAAGAAGCTGTTCCAGTCAGTGTGTAAAGATATATGTGTGAGGATTTCCTCTGAAACATTGTCTGTAACAGGGAAAAGTTAGAAACGACCTAAATGTCATCATCCATAATTAAGTAAATTTTGATAGAGCTAAACAATGAAATATTGTGCAGCCTTAAAAAAGAATGAAAAGGCTGTATATGCATGGATATAGGAAGCTGTGGAAGATCAGTTAAGCGGAAGAGGCAGGACACATGACTTGACCTAAATTATGAAATGATTGCCACTGGCTACTTCTGGTAAGTGGAATTATGGTAAAACTTTTAGATCACTAATTACTTTGTGCATATCTATATTGTTGTTGTTTTTGTTGTCTACTATCGAGTCCATGCCAACTCACAGCGACCCCATGCGACACAGTAGAGCTGCCCCATAGCTTCCTAGACTATAATCTTTATGGGAGCAGATTGCCAGGTCTTTTCTCCCGAGGAGCCTCTGGGTCGGTTCAAACCACTGACCTTCTGGTTAGCAGCCAAGTGCTTAACCATTGTGCTACCAAAAAACCTGTTGCCATTGAGTTGATTCTAACTGATAGCAACCCTATAGAACAGGGGAGAACCGCCCCATAGGGTTTCCAAGGAGCAGCTGGTGGATTCGAACTGCCAACTTTTGGTTAGCAGCCAAGCTCTTTACCACTGTGCCACTAGAGCTCCACTGTGCCACCAGGGCTCCATATATTTGCATTACTTGACTTTTTTTTTCCACAGTGAGAGTTTATGAAGTTGATACAAATATTTCCATGGTGAAAAATAATAATTAAAAAAATGGATCAGGAGGACTAAGCATTTGGGGGAACACACTCACAAGCAGAGGAAATAGTTATAGAGTCCTAAAGTGACATGTGGCTCCCTGCAGCGTCCCCATTCATCCACCCATGCCCCCCACCACCGTGCCACCTTGGGTGAAAGAGGCAATGGAAACAGAGCTGAAAGCCACATGGCAGGCCTGCCTGGAAGACAAGCAAAATAAAAATGAAGACGAGCATACTCCAAGCACCCCCTTCATCCCCCAGGGGGAGTCACTACTTTAAAGTTTTAAAAAGCAAAGATGTCACTTTGAAGACTAAGGTGCAGAAAGGGGCAGAACAGGATTTGAACCAGCTCTCAAGTCATGCGTAGACCCAGAAAAGCTGCTGCCTCTGGGGAAATATGCACTCTTCATCAAACCCCAGAAATGAGTTCTCCACCCCCATCAGCCCATGGCACATGCAGCTCATTGTCCACACAAACCCTGTGAGCTCAGATAAGGCAGGTTGCCTAGTTAAGCCTCAGTTTCCCTATCTGTAAAATGGGGAAAATACAGAGATCATTTGGAGAAGCCACAACATTCTTCCCTGAGATCCCCAGAGACCATCTCTTCTTTGAACAACTCGCCAGGTTAATTTCCACTTAGGCGTCTAAGAATCAGGGTGCAGTGAAAAGATGAAAGGCGTTGGCATCAGGAAGATACACGTTCTATGCCAGATCTGCCGTCTACTAGCTGTGTGACCTTGGGCAAGGCACTTAACCTCTCTGAACTTCAATTTCCTCATCTGTAAATTAAGAAGCTCACAAGATTGTTGAAAATAATCCAATAATGTGCTCTAGAAAGTCGTACCTGGCACATGGTAGAAACTATTGTGATTGCCTTTACAAAATGATCTGCAGTGGTTTCCACCCATAAAATTTCTCAGAAGGAAGCAGTTCTCTAGGCCTCTCTCTCTGACTTGGAGATCTTAACTTGAGGAGTTTTAAAAGTGTGAACTTGAATTTCAATTTCCACTAACCTCTAATTGAAATTTAGCATTTCCTTCCATTATGGAGGTAGGCAACAAGACACAGTTACATCAGTTGAGTGATAGAAGCCCTAGGGACTGTTGAGTCCTGGTGGTGAAGTAGTTACGTGCTTGGATGCGAACTAAGAGGTCGGTGGTTCAAATCCACCAGCTGCTCCATGGGAGTCAAATGTGGCATCTGCTTCCGTAAAGACTACAGCCTTGGACACCCTATGGGGCAGTTCTACTCTGTCCTACAGTGTTACTATGAGTCGGAATTGACTTAACAGCAACAGGCTTTTAGCGACTGTCACCAACAGAAATCAAATAACTTCATATCACATTACAGTTGTTGCATATGTCTAAAAATACCATTTATGCTCACCACTACTTCAAAATTACAGTAGGTTTAGAGCTGCCACTAGAGATCCTGTTGCTTAAGGCAGTTACAAAGTATACATATTATTATATCACCATTTTAAATATTTTGATAACAATGTTGCAATGTGGAGCCCTGGTCACACAGTGTTTAAGAGCTCAATCAGCTGTTAACCAAAAGGTCGGCAGTTCGAATCCACCAGCTGCTCCTTGGAAACCCAATGGGGCACTCTGTCCTATATGGTCGCTATGAGTCGGAATCGACTCAACGGCAACAGGTTTGGTTTTTTAAAATTATACTGAGAAGGGATCCATAGGCTTCACCCAACTGCCAGTAGGCCCATGGTACAAAACAGGGTATGAACTCCTGCCCTAGAATGAATATGTATCAATAAATTCCAAACTTCAGTCACGATTTTTGCCATGACCCAGACCATCTATTCTTCAACTTAATACATTTTTAAAACTGACTTTTTTATCCAAATACACTTAGCCTCTCTCTAAGCAATAATATCGGTGCAACTATGGGCTTGTGATGCTAATTATAGTTCTTCTAATGCAAATGAAATAAATACTTAATTATTAAAATTAAAGAGCGCACCCAAAATCATCTCAAAATCATAGTGCACTGCTTCTCACTCACTGTGAGGAGTGCTGCATTAGCCTACTTCATCCTGTCAGTGACCGTATGAAATAGATACTGCTGTTGTTGCCATTTTACAGATTAGGAAACTGAGGCCCAGGGTCACAGAACTGGAAAGAGACACAACCAGAATTCTAACTCAACAGTCTCCTAACTACTTCTATGCAATCTCCTAATCGGTTCTTCTGATTTTTTTAAAACACAATATGCTTTCAAAGACGAGAAGGCAGGAAGGGACAGGTAAACTGGAGGAACTGAAATGGGGAAACCAAAGCTGAGAAGGGGAGAGTGTTGACACATCGCAGAGTGGGCAGCCCATGTCACAAAACAATTTGGGTATTAACTGTTTAATGAGAAACTAATTTTCTCTGTAAACTTTCACTTAAAGCACTATATATGTATATATGCTTTTAGTCTATGAGCAGCCCTCTAAGATACAACTATTGGTCTCTATTTGTCTGGAACAAAAGAGAAAGAAGGAAACCCAAGAATCAGAGAAGGAACCAAACTACAGGCTAATTGACTCCATGGAGCCCTGGTGGCGTAGTGGTTAAGAGCTTGGCTGCTAACCAAAAGGTCAGCAGTTCAAATACACCAGCCGCTCCTTGGAAACCCTATGGGGCAGTTCTACACTGTCCTATAGGGTCACTATGAGTTGAAACCAAGTCAACGGCACCTAACAACAACAACAATTGTCTTCATGAACCACTGCCTCTTCTACCTTGAGACTAGAAAAACTAGATGATGCCCGGCTACCACTACTGAATGTTCTGATCGGGGACGCAACAGATGGATCCTGATTGAAAGGGAGGGAAATGTGGAACAGATCTTCAAATTCTTGAAGAATCCAGACTTCTTGGACCTATAGAGGCTAGAGGAGTTCCCGAGACCATTACCCAGAGTTACTCTTCAAACCCTGAAGCAGAACTATCACCTGAAGTCACCTTTAAACTAAGCAACAGTTTAGCCCATAAAGTAAAGATTGTCACCCTTGAGTATTGTGTCCTTTTTTAAAAAAAATTATCTATATAAGACCAAATGGACAACAGCTATTTTGAAGCATAGACAAGAAGGTCAAAGGGCTGGGAGTTTATGTCAATGGGAGCAAAGCATCTAGAACAGAAATAACATGAATGCTGGCATAATGTGAAGAACGTAACCAATGTCACTGATCGTTATGTTCAGAAACTGTGGGATGAGAGCGGTTTTGCTGTATATATTCTCACCAAAAAGAAAATAAAATATTGATTAAAAATAATAATCTTCTCTTTGGGGGGCAAGGATTTGGGGCCCAAGACTCCCCCCCCACTTCCCCTCGCCTCAGGGGTGTGATGATCTCCACCCTGTGTCCCTTGCCTTTGTTTGTCATGTGGAATCACATCACAGTGGTCAGGCAGGGGACACAGAGTGTCTGCCAAGTTTCCATGAGGCCACAGACACCCTCCC